GGGTCGCGGCAGATTATCAAATGCCGTGGCTGAGAGTTACTTTGAAATTATAAAAGAGTGTATTCTGAAGAAGAAAACTCGTTTAAAACCATCAGATGCAATTCTTAAAATACATCTTAGTACAATGGCTCGTTTGGAGGCTGGACGTTACGGGTTAACACAGACAGCAGCTCAACGAAAATCTCGTGCGTTTGATGTGCTTATGCCAGAGACATGGCGAAGAAGAAAATCTCAATCAAGGGGCAAATACTTTAGAAGAGCTGTTTCTGTAGATAAAACTGTAGGCCAAAAAAGGTATGTAAGTTCTATATTTAACCATTTGTCACAAATGTTTGATAATCCCCTTTTATTGTAGAGTTCAAAGAAGCCAATCGGATGATTTGATAAACCGTACATCAACTGAATCATTCAATTGTCGAATCGAGTAAATATTCATATTTATTGACAGATATGCGGACCATGTCGTTGAGAAAATCAGTATTTGTCATTTTAAAAGCGAAGGAAACAAGATTCTGGAAAACTGATTTTGCAATTCGATAGAGCTCGTCGAGTTCTATCTGGCACACTTATTTCCAAAGATGGCACAGCTTTAATAAAAAATGTTAGGCGAAAATATAGAAATCTGCTGCCAACTTCCAAATAGAGCTCGTCGAGTTCTATCTAGCACACTTATTTCCAAAGATGGCACAGCTTTAATAAAAAATGTTAGGCGAAAATACAAAAGTTTGAGTTTTCGTCTCGTTGGGAAAATCAGTATTTGTCATTTTAAAAGCGAAGGAAACAAGATTCTGGAAAACTGATTTTGCCATTCGATAGAGCTCGTCGAGTTCTATCTGGCACACTTATTTCCAAAGATGGCACAGCTTTAATAAAAAACGTTAGGCGAAAATATAGAAATCTGCTGCCAACTTCCCTTACGTGATTTTTTTTGTATATCTCATTTAAAATGAGAATAACAAAAACACATATCTTCGATCCCACACGTGTCTATGTGTCTAGACACATAGTATACTATTTATGTTATAGACAGAATGTGGACTATCTATTTGTATATACGCAACATAAATTCTCACTCTGAAATAAGAGAAAAAGAATTCTTTTGCGTTCTTGTACTTCAGGAAAATGACTAACTATATCCATCAATAAAATTCCTTGACGTGAGTCGCGTCGCGAAACGGCGATATGGTAGTGATCGCGCTAAGAAAAAACCCATATGAATTCGAAACTTACCTGAATCGAATCGATGCAGAATTCAGAGTCCCGCCGTGACTTCGCGACATTACAGTGATCGCGACGCGATTATATATCGCGCAGCGACTCTTAAAAACAAAATTCTATTTAAAATAAGAATTGATCAAGATCACGCCGCGACTTCGCGACATTATAGCAATCGCGACGCGAATATAAGATTTCATCGCGATCGCGCCGCGACATGCAGGATGTCATAGGGATCGCGTTAGCGACAGCGCGATCGCGCCGCGAATGACGCGTGACAGTGAACCTGGGTCACTCAAGTCGACTTTGAGGAAGCCCTTTTAGTAAGATTCTGATTTTCGAAACATATTGAATAAATTAATTTTTGGCTATTGCTATATATTGTAACTAGCCAAATTTTAAACGAAACTTAAACCTTCGCCATAGTGTATCCTTGCTTGTGATTGCTCAAATTTTTCAATCAGTAGATAATAAAGAATTATTTTCTTTATTTTTCTTGCGACTACACTCACTGTAAATTCGTTTAAAGTCATTGAAAAATCACGAACTTTTCTCAGAATCAGGTAGAAAAACACGTCAAAAATCACTCATGAACTTTTCTTTATATGAAGTAACGTGCAGAGGTCTATGAGTGATTTTTCACACATTTTTTTCTGTGACCATAATAATTGATAGACAAATTTTTTATTCATTTTTAAGATTGATCAAGTTAAGTCCATGCACACCACATTACAGGCACTTTGATTTTCAACGCTTTTTTAGAATTTTTCTTGGTAGCAGGAATGCCGAAGTCTCTCTTGCTCTAGTTTGCATTGAAATGACAATTTACTAGGGAACGTATGCAACCGTCCGATCGTTTTTTAAACGAAAACCAGTTTTTAAAAGAAAAAATCAAATACTTTATTAATGAGACATAATTGTAGCCCGCAAATTTCTGATTAAAATGAGACATCTCCCAGCCAGGATCCCAGATCTTCTGATTTTGGCAGAAAAATTGATTTTTGGAACTTTTTCTGCCTCGTTTCTGCTCTTTTTTGCCTTAAGGTCTATTGATTTTCTGATTTTCTGCTTCTTTTTCTCAGGTTTTTCTGATTTTGTACTTTTATTTCTGATTTTCGTGTTTCGGATCTGGGATCCCTGCTCCCAGCTCTACATGACCTTTCTTTGCAAAGTTATAGAATTTACAAGAAAAGCCCTAAATTGATTTCGTCTTATTTCTGTAGCTTTGAGCTGACAGTGAACATTCAGGGCTTTTCTTATAAATTCTATAACTTTGCAAAGAAAGATCATGTAGAGCTGGGAGATCTCATTAAGAAAAGTTTCGACTATTTTTCAGAGTTTCCGAAAAACTAGTTTTCCAGAAAACCGACCCTTGGAAGGTCTATATATAAATTCCTCAGATGAAAAGTATTCAGAAACATGTTCATTGAATATGTCACACCGATTTCAGTGTGTTGATACATCAATTACACAACAATGTCTACCACAAATAACTGTAAGAAACGGTTATCGAGATTGTTTAGACGGTTCGGATGAACCAACCCAAATCAATTGTGCAATAGATCAATTTCCATTATCACACGAATGTCAGTATTTACGTGGTACTATTAAATCGAATGATGATAAAGTTGTACTTATCTTTTCTCAAATTTGTAATGGCGTAAAAGAAATGCAATATTCTTCCAATATTACGGCTGATGCAGATGATGAAGCCGACTGTGACACTTGGCCTTGTATTACACAGTACACCAGATGTAATCAGGTATGGAATTGTAAACGTGGTGAAGATGAATTAAATTGTCCAAAAACAGAATTCATGCCAAAATATTCGTGTAACAGTGAAAATGAACATTATTGTGCTCGTCCAAATGAATATAATTTAGGTTGTATTTCTGTTAATAACACAAATGACGGTGTTATAGATTGTTTGGGTGCAACAGATGAGCAATTTTTTATTTGTAAAACTGATACGTGATACATCACTCGACGTAGTTTTACACACTGATTGCGAATATGTTTAGATTGTTTGGATAAAAGCCTTTTTTTAATGACAAAAGAAGCATTTTATCTGAAAAACCGAGAGTTTTTTGAAAATCTCCCTATAGAGCTAGATACATTTCCGCCTTTAACCGCTTGCATCACAGATGCAGGAACATGAGACGAGTATTTTAACCTCTTTCCGACCTCGATTAGTGTTTGGCTAGCTTTTGCGCGCTCATTTTACTGCAGAAAGCTTTTTTAAGTGCGACTCGTTAAAAACGCTCGTGTAACCTCAAATGTTGACCTTTCGAAAAAGAATTTTTACCGAAGGATAGCCTGACCATTGCTGATTCCGAACATGTACTTATATTTGAGCAGAAGTTGAATTTGGCATGAGAAAATCGAGCGTTTCCGAAATTACTCTAATTTTGGCTATATTCTTCCATCTAACTTTACTCCATAAAGCAAACACTTACGTTAGAACGAAAATTTTTTCGTCATTAAATTCACCATCGTTCATAGTATATATAATGCTATTAAAATAAGAGAAAGCGAACTTACATTTTTTGGCCAAATATCCGCCGAGCAGCCCACTGTGAGCTGAGGATTACGAATATCATAGTTTTAGCCTTCCTAGTGCAAGTTTTCACATGAAAAAATTCAAATATTCGGAAGAACTCAAATTTTTAAAAACCGCTCATGCTCAAAAAATAGCGAATATTTCTTTTTGCATTTCAATTTAGAAGTTTTCGATGGTATTTTTCGGAATCAGCATGATAAACTGATTCTAGAAATGTTGTGTAGAGCCTCATCACATATGATGTAGTCAAAATAAAAGTATTTCTATACACATAGCTCCAAAATTACAAACTCATTTTGCAAACCTATCTAGTCCTTGGTTTCAAAAGGTAAAGTCTCGGTTCTTATGCCATTTGAATATCCATTCAATTGACAATAAAATTATGAGTAGCGTTTTTCGTGAATGTTTATCATTGTCGAGAAATATCATGTTTTTATAAAAGTTTCAGTTTTTGTCCAAAACAGCCATGGAATACATAGAATTTCATGTAGAATCCAGCGAGAATATCGACAAAGTCCTACGAAAGTTTTCTAGAGGACTTCTAGAAAACGTTTCGCCTGAATACACGATATTTTGCCGTCCATGGCTGCATATTTTGATAGGATGCGAGTTACAGTGCCGATTCTCAAGGTTCCTATGTCGAAAGGACATGAGAGAGATGATGTACTGAAACATTGAAATGAATTGTGAAACACATTCGGACGAGAGGATGCGTATTATACGATTCCCGATGACGAAGGAGAAAATTCCTATACCGACAATATTTCTCTATAAGTGCTTTAGATCTCAAATGTGTCTTTCCATAACCTCTGCTTACACTTCTTCTTTATGTCACTGTTAAGGCCACGATGAATAGAAGTGACGAAATATCCTCAAAAAGGTGGATAATGGACGATACGGCCGCATGTTGTTCAAAAGGCCGAGCATGAAGTCACATGCTGTCAGATTTCATCGTCACACACACCCCAGTTCACCATTATTTTATTTAAGTGAAATGAATATAAACTGGCCTTACGAAAGTAGCCTGAATTAGCAAATGAATCCGACGTTCAATACGATGAATTTTCAGCATCGGCCGGTATTAATATAGTAAGTGATCCGTATTTTGACAATACTACGATCATCAGTCAATTTGAACGTTTATTCAATATGTTTAAATTTAAGAAAGATTATAAACATCACCAAATATACGTGTTAGTAGACAATGCCCAGATACACACTGTCCGGGAATACAATGTAAATGAATTTGGAATGAAAAGCGATACAAGATGTCCTGTACAATTTCCTTGAGTATTTGGATAATAAAGGATAAAAACAGACCTTGAGTTGTCATCACACTAAAAGACCATTGAAAGGAAAAGGAACTATTGAATATAGCACAGCATTAGATCTGGGATTGCAAGTACCCGTCGGATGTAAATTACCTAAATTATAGTCTCTATTACTGAAGCACAATACATTTAAAAATGTAAGTGACACGAAAATGATTTTGTGTATAAAATTGTGCTTTGATTCTGGAATCAAAGCTATCATTCGATGAAAAGTTTGGTCACTGTGCG